GAGCCCCACCCCCCCCGCCATGGCCCAGCCCCGCACCTGGTGCTCCGCCTGGACCAGGAAGCTGAAGAACTTCTCGAGCAGGAAGAAGGCGTAGATGCCGCCCAGCACGGCCAGCAGCTTCCAGGTGCTGCCTGCGACCGCCGCGCCGTGCTCGTGCCCGTGGCCATCGTCCGCGTGCGAGTGCAGGCCCAGGAACTGCAAAGATGGGGCAGGGGCTGGCCTCAGCACCCCTTGCACACCTGATGTGTGCAATGCCCCTCCCTCACCCCCCCCCCCCGCCTCCTGGCCTCCCCTGCACGCGGGCCAAATGGCAGCAAACTTATGTGTACAGGCGTCCAATTGTGTGCGCTCCTCCCCCCCCACCCCCCCATACAGGCTTAGCCCACTTCACACGCTACACACACACACACGTGTACAGGCACACGCAGCCCTGGGTGCAGACAGGCAGCCACATACATGCACACAGGCAAACAGATGCACCTTCTGCTGCTCTGCGTACACCCTCAGTCGTGCCTTGCACACTGGGTGGCAGATCACATGCCCACATGTACACATTCCTACATGCACATATGCACACAGCCAGCCCTTAGGCATCTCCCACATGCTCCTACACGGCCCTACCTACAGGCATGCAGCACACAGCCACGTGCGAGCACACACACACCTACGCCTGCACATGTGCCATCCTACGCATACCCCTTCCCCAGCTAGCATGCACCATGCAGCCATGTGCATATACATGCAAGCACATGTACTGTCCCACACACATAACCCCTTCGCTAGCACGCACCACACAGCCACGTGCATACATACATACACATGTGCCTTCCCATACTCTACCCCCAATCCCTGGCACACACCACACAGTCATGTGTGTATACATGTGTGCACACATGCCATCCCACACATACACCCCCCTCCCCCAGTACGCACCACACAATCATGTGCCTAAACCTGTGCATATGTGCGCCATCCCATGCACCCCCTTCCCCAGCACACACCACACAACATATACATGCATACACACATATCATCCCACACACACATGCACCCCCCTCCTCCGGCACGCACCATGCAGCACGGTGCCTATACCTGCGTGCACACGTGCCACCCCACGCCCGCCCCGCGCTCACCTGGGGCACGAGGTGCAGCAGCGCGTCGCCGGTGAGCGAGCCCACGGCCAGGCTGAGGAAGGTCTGGATGACGTACTGGTAGGTGCTGATGCAGGCCGTGCACAGCAGCACGCCGATGCCCATCAGGGCACAAAGGCAGATGACCAGCGTGGCCAGCGAGCCGTAGATGTACTCTGGGGACAGCGGGCGTCAGCCACGGGGGCTGCTCCTTCTCCCCTGCCCCTGCCCCTGCCCCTGCCCTGGTGGGGGGTCTCCTGCCTTGGCATCTGGCCGTGTGACCAGGGACATGCAGCAGCCCCCTAACTCAGGGGCCCAGAGCAGATCAGGCCACTAGAGGCCAGATCGGGGCCCGATCCCCACCCCCAACTCCCGTGCCCGGGCTCCCTGCACTCACTCTCAGCCACGCTCAGGCGCCCGTCGCGGTTGCTGCCGGAGCCCGCGGGCAGGCCCGAGCAGGCCCCGCTCAGTTGCTGCTGGAGCAGAGCCGGGCTGAGCCGAGAGAAGTCCTGGCTGGAGATTCCCGTCTGTGCGTCCAAGCCGTAGACCTCCAGGAGGTCCTGGGCGCTCAGGCAGGCCTGGGGAACACAGCCTGGGTCAGCACCGGCTGGGCTGGGCACCGGGGCCCCGGGGTGGCTCCAGGCTCCAGCCGGGCTGGGGAGGGCAGCGACTGCCCCGCTCACCGTGTCCCACACGTGGCTGCCGCTGTGCATGTGGG